CGGCGGGATCCCGCGGGGGCGCGCCCTGAGACGGCCGCGCGGGCCCCGAAAAGCGGGAGCGAAAGGGACCAAGGCCGGGGACCCTTGAAGGGCTTCCCGGGGGACACCCCGGGGCCCCCCGCGACCAGGGAGACCCCGTGTTGTGGCTCCCTGGCGGGCCCCCCTGGCCGGGTTCCGGCTCCTTTTTTGCCCGGGGGGTCCGGCCGCGCGGCCTTTGATTCGGTCTCGGGATGGCTTCGCCGCCAACTTCCGCGGGGGCGGGGGCCGCCCACAACTCCAACTTGGCTTCCCGTCTCCAATGACAAATAGCGCGCCGACGCCCCCGCCCCTTCGGCGCCCCTGACTCGCAGGGGAGGCGGGGCCCAGGACCTGGGGGGGACGGAGTCGGTGCAGGCCGGCGTCCAATTAGGTGACGGCAGGGAGAGACGGGGCCGCGGGGATCGCAAGGGTCCCCCAGAATAGCCTCTGGAGGGGCGAAGCCTGGGAAGCCGACGGAGGGGGAGGAGTCGGCGCGCGTGCGCGTTGTCGCGCACCCGAGCTCGGGTGCCAGGGGCCGGCGGAGCTCAGGATATAAGTGTATCTCGCCCGTCAAAGTCATCGCGGGACACTTTGTGTCTAGTCGTGCTGCGGCTGGCGTGTGACCCCATTAATAAAAGCGCACAAATTCCCCGCTATAGTGAGCGCCAGCGGAGTGCCCACCCGTGTGCCGGCCCCGGTCCCGGTTCACCAGCGCCCCTGTCTGTCCCTGAGGTCCAGTGCGCCTGCGGCTCGTGGCGGCGCGGGGTGGAGAGACCCGCAGAGTGTGTTCTGCACTCTGACTGCGTGGCCGCGGTGGGCAAGGGCTCTGCCTGTGACTCAGTTGTGTGTGTTTGCCTTGCCAGCGCCTCGCTGAACAAACAGTCGTGGGGTTGAGCACTGCTCTGTGGAGTGTTTACAGTGGAGCCTGGGCGGGGGTGCGGGCGCGTTCGAAGGGGAAGGGGACCCTCATCCTCCACCACCGCACCGCCGGCCTCGGCAGGGCGAGCTGCGGGTGGAAAGCGCCCAGAACGAAGCAGCGAGGCTGGAACAGATGGGGAGGAGGAGTGGGGTCCGGAGACCTGCTCCGGTGGGGCTGCTTCTCAGTCTGGCAGCTCTTGCTCGCTGTCTCCCCTCTAGAGAAAGGCCACCCCCCTCCGTCCCCAGGTCCCCCAGTGCCTTCTTTCTCCCTGGAAATCTGGCAGGGAGTTGGTGGAAGTAAGAGCGGCTTCTAATTCGTGCAGATTGCCAAGGCCCGTCTCTTGCCCACCTGCTGCTGCTGGCGGAGAGGGACAGTCTCCCGGACTCCCTTCGCCCCGGACGAGGGCACTCGTGGCACTTCTCCCAGGGGCCTCCATTCCGAAACTTCAGCTCGTTCTCGGGTCCCCTGCCTGGTGGGAGAAGCTAGGGGGGGCGGGGCGGCGAACCGAGAGAAATCCGCTAACTCCGGGATTTACAGTGGCGGGGAGAGAACCCAGCCTTTCCCCCCGCGCCCTCCTCCGCCGAGGTTTCTTTGTACTTCGGGGGGGCCCAGCCTGCCACCAGGGCCCGCGGAGCTTCGGATTCCCCTCCGCCCGGACTTAGCCGAAGAGGAAAGTTGGAAGAGATCGGCG